TCTGATCTATAAAAGGTAATGGAAAGTGGTCCTTTCTCGTAGCATCATTCAACTTCCTATAGTCTATACACACTCTCCAAGCATTTTGAACCCTAGTTGGAATCAGTTCATCATTTTCATTTCTCACTACTGTGATACCGCTCTTCTTTGGTACTACTTGTACCGGACTTACCCACTCACTGTCTGATATGGGATAGATGATCCCAGCACTCAACAACTTTGAGACTTCCTTCTTAACCACATCCAGAATGAGAGGATTCAGTCTCCTCTGTGGTTGCCTAACTGGCTTGGACCCTTCATTCAAAAGGATCCTGTGTGTGCAAACTGAGGGATTAATCCCCGGAATATCCCCTAAAGACCATCCTATAGCCCCTTTATGACTCTTCAATACAGAAATCAATCTTTCTTCTTCAGAACTACTCAAAGAACTGGAAATAATAACAGGCAATTTAAATCAGCAGCAAGAAAGACATATTTCAAATTAGAGGGGAGGGGTTTCAGTTCTAAATCAGGAGGTTGCACAACAGAAGGAACTAATTCTTTTATGTCAAGTGCATTCAATGCAAGTGGCATGTCCATATGGCTTAGGGAAGGAGATATAAGCTCATCATGATGTGTATGTCCTCCACTTCCCAACTCAGTGCCATTCTTGGATGACCTACAAAAAGAAGGATCGGTATCAATTTTATCAACAGAAACATCAAGTAAATCACAAGGAAGAGTGGGATTAGAAGTGACTAAGTGAGTAGCAATCTTTTTGCTAGCCTCTTCTAATGTTCCAGCACCACTCAAAGGAGAAGCTACGGTGTAGCTTGTGTAACAGCTCCTTTATCATCAGTACCTGCAAAATCAACAAACTCGCCTTTCTCAAGGCTATCATCAAGTGTAATGTTCAAGGCAGAATCACAGTTAAGACAAGATGATGCATCAAAATCATGAGAGATGGAAAGGAGGTGATCAACTTCTAAACAGTTAACACACACCACGTCACCATAACATGAGCAAAAAGAAGAAGAATGAGGGGTAGATAAACAAGTAAATGCATCATCATGCTCAACAATCTCACCATACCAGTCATGTTCATGCATCTCAGATTCATGCAAATCATCAACATCATTAACAGCACAATCAATCAAATTAACACCCAAGTAAGAGCAATCTGCATAACCTTGACTCATAGCATCAGAAATGTTGAAGGTAATCTGTTGGTCCCCAAAACCCATGGTAATGACCCCGTCTTTCACATTAATTATGGTTTGGGCTGTTCTAAGAAAAGGTCTTCCTAGAATCAAAGTGCTATCGGCTTTAATCTCATCAGTCATATCTAGCACATAAAAGTCAGCTGGGAACACAAGACCCTTCACTTGCACAAGAACATCCTCAAGAAAGCCCTTAGGATGTCTCACAGTCCTATCAGCTAGACCTAGCACAACACTGGTGTCTTTCAAGGCATGAATACCCAAACTCTCATAGACAGAGGTAGGCATAACATTTATGGCTGCACCTAAGTCTAGTAAGGCATGTGAAATGTTTGTTTTGCCTATGGTACAGGGAATAGTGTAGGAACCCGGGTCTTTACACTTAATAGGCAGCTGTGGCTTGAAGATAGCACTAACACTAGACCCCAGTTGGATTCTCTCACTATGCCTATACTTCCTCTTGTTTGTACATAGATCTTTCAGAAACTTAGCACACTTAGGCATCTTCTTAATCAAATCAAGTAATGGCACATTAACCTCAAGTTTGCTAAACATTTCAAAAAGCTCATCATTATCTTTCTTTTCAACAACTTTCTTACTCATGAGATATGAATGAGGAAAAGGCAAGTCAGAAATATTTACCTCATCACCTTTGGAAGATGATCCTTTCTCTATTGGCTCTTTGGATTGAATGGAGGTCTCTTGAGTGGCCTTGGGAATGTCTTGAGTGGTTTTAGAAGGAGGAGACTCAACTTCTATCTCTTCATCAACCGGTTCTTCACCCTCTTCATCATCTTTGAATTGCACTGTCTTAGCACCAATTTCCTTACCGCTTCTCAATGTAATTGCATTCAAAGATTTAGGATTTATCACCGTGTTGGAAGGCATTGAACCACTAGCCTTAGCTTGCTGTTCACTCACACCATTTGACAACTTAGTGACATAAGAAGTCAAATTAGAGGTTCTAGTTTCCCATTGCTCCATCCTATTCTCTAGGGCTGCAAATCTAGCTTCAGATTTAGCTTCAGACTTAGATATGTGCTCAGTCATTGCCTCAATGCCCTTGAGTATTCGAGAGAACCGCTCATCATCCTTAGACTGTGATTGCTGTGGGGTAGACATGGCTCTAGAAGATTCTCCTTGTAACCCTCCATAGTAAGATTGCCCTTGAGGAACCATATTCCCTTGAAACCCTTCTTGAACCTGCCTATTGTCACCTCCTCCCCATCGGAAATTTGGATGAGCTTTCCATCCTTCATTATATGTGTTTGAGTATGGGTTCCATTGCTTGGATTGATTGGCCCTTCCTTGATACATGGCAGAAACTTCCTCATATCTATGAGGGCAAGCAGCAGAGATGTGCATAACAGAATTACAATGCTCACAACTAGGTGCAGTCATCTCCATAGAATTAGGAGTCCGAGTGTCAACAGGGGGAGTGTGAGATGCAAGCTTATTCAACTGTGTAGTCAAAGCAGCAATTTGAGAAGTGAATGTGTCCAATTGAGGAATGTGGACTGAAGAAGGATTAGTATGCATTGCATTGACATTTTTAGACTCCCTGATGCTATACTGTTGATGGTTCAATGCCATTTTCTTGATAAGTTCCCATGCCTCCTCAGCAGTTAAATCAATAAGAGAACCCCCAGAAGCAGCATCCAACATCCCCTTATCTTGGGTCTTAAGTCCATCATAAAAGTATTGGACTAACTGCTCATCTGGAATCTGATGGTGTGGACATCTAGAAAGCAAGTCCTGAAAACGGTTCCAGTAGTCATAAAGTGACTCATCATAATCTTGCTTTGCAGAGTAGATCTCTTTTCTCAATGTAGAAGTCCGGGAAGCAGGGAAATACTTCTCCAAGAATGCTTTTCTGAGGTTGTTCCAGTTATGGTAAGCATCTGCCATATAACTAGGCAAGCTCATGTACCATTCTCGTGCTTTGCCCTCCAGAGATAAGTGGAATACCTTCCAAAGAACCTCATCCAGATCAGCCCCAACTGGCTTCATGCTAGCACATACCATAGAGAGAGATTTCAGATGTTTGTACGGGTCCTCACCTGTCAAACCATAAAATTTAGGCAAATTATTAAGCAGTGGACCTTTAATCTCAAAATTAACATCAACATTAGGGCATGCAACATTAAAAGGATCATAATTTGCATCAGAAGTAGTGGCTTCCCTAATAGTTCTTCTTCTAGGGTTATCTCCATTATTCTCTCCTATTCTGTCATGCTCCCCATTATGTCCATTGCCCCCTCTCTCATTACCACCATTGTTGTTACCATTAGGATTATTAACTGTTTCCATTATGTCACCTAAGTCAACCACCAAATCTAGATCAGTTAAATTGTCTAGTTCAACCTCACTAGTCCTTTCTACCCTTGAGTCTTGTCTAACTTCTCTTAAAGAACTTTGAAGCTCAAGATTGGAAGGAACTAGGGTTTTAGACCTACCCTTTCTTGGCATAAACAATCAATCAACCAGAAGCAATAAAACAAAAGAAAACAGATGAATGCAATGCAATGCAAGTGTATGCGTATGAGAATGAAAAATGCAATGAATGAAAAATCAAGATATTTAGTTGTATTTTTAATTTTTTTTTTTTATGCAAAGAAAGAAGAAAAAAAAATGCTATGAAAAATCAATAGAAACAAATGCAAACTACTAAAGAAAATGCAAAAACTAACAAAAATGAAAACTAAAAAGGCTCAACAAATGAACCCCAATCAAGGCTACTTGACACTTAATTACTAGGGAACCAATTTCTTGGCTCCCCGGCAACGGCGCCACTTGAAGTTTAACTGCCCTTAATTGTCGCTTTGGGGTTACTCCAAAAATTAACCGAATTAATGCAATATAGTGCACAACTCGGGTCGTTTCACTTTGAGGAGCCGAAAACGAAATTAAATCCCTAGTAAATAAATGCAAGTAACCTAAACTATAAAAAGGATTTTTGATTTGAGTTTGAAAAATTGCTAATAAATACTTGAATTAAATTGAAATTAAAATACTTTTTTTTTGTTATTTTTTTTATATAAAAGATGATTGAAATAATGAAGATGAAAGAAATGAAAATGAGACACACAAATAACACTGATAATAATCAATCCTCCAATTCAACAACGCAGGCAATCATCACTCTAAAAGATGTGGGAGTTAAAAACAATGAATTAAGAATTATAATTAAGCTTTTGATCCAACAACCGAGCCACCTCGAGTTGCCACAAAATATTTTCCTAAAATCCCAACTTACTAACTGCAACCAGAATAGTAAAATGGGATTAAGGATGCTAAAAACCAATGCTTAATTAGAACTCTTAAATCCAAAATAACAGAATTAAAGCTAGCAAGAGACTATATGATCCAAAATTCTAAGCCACCTTAGAAAATCACAATATATTAATTCCAAAATCAATACAAATGTCATAACCACAACATTATAATTGAAATCAAAACTATAAACAGCCCAATGTCAAATGCTAAGCAATAATTCAGTCACAATAATCTCCAAATATAATCAGATTAAGCAATACAATTATCCCAATAATAGAAAAACTATCCTAAGACCTAGGAATTGTTAAACAATTATTGAGTAGGAAATTAAAGCAACTAAAACTCCCCTTTGATGATCCAAGCTCCTGCCATTATTGTTGAATTAGAGAATATGAAGCTAGCCACGGTTTGCCATAAAAATTGTCATATTCAGAATTTTGCTACGGTTTGCCATGGAGGGAACAATGGAACAGTGGATGATTTCTTTCTCCTGCGTTGCTGGCAGCAGTGAAGAAGAAGCAGACAATGCCGTCGAGCCTGCTGGTTTACTCGCCGTCGACGTCCTCTGTTTTTCCCAGCCCTCAGCTCCTTCGCGTGCGTCTTCAGCTTCCGTTCGGCGTTGCTCTGTTTTTCCGCTGGTGCCGCTTGCGTTCGGGAGAAGAAGAAGATGATGGGTGCTGTCTCTCTCTTCTGCTCCAGGTCCGTGTTCGCCGTCCAGCTCCTGTTTTCGGCTTGCCTTCCGTGTATGTGTCTTCCCGTTCGTTGCCGCCGCTCAGCTCTGTTCGTGTGTGTGTGTTCGGCGTCTTCGTCGTCCCCCTGGAGAAGATGAAGATTATAGTATATTAGGTTGGGGGGGCAAAACGTTGCGTTTTGCTCCCCTTTTTATTATTATTTATTTTTTTAATTTATTTTCTTTTATTTTTTTTCTTTATCTTTTTTTTTTTTTTTTATTTTTATTTTTTAATCTTCCAAAAACCTGCAAGCAAAATTCAAGGATAAGGTAGCATTAATTGTCCTGAAAAATCAATTAGTCACAATAAACCAAAATATGACAATTTTGCCCCTATAAAAAATAATTCAAAATAAAATATATTAATCAATTAATAATAAAAAAAAAGCCAAAAAAGACTAATTAAGTTGACAAAACCCATATAAAAGATATCAAAATATATAAAAATAATTGAGTTTGTCAAATGTCCACTGAGATCTTAGACATTAAGTTTTCAAAAATGACACAAAATGTTTTTTTATATCACTAATTAACCATTAACCAATAGCAGAAAAACAGAGATAAAGTATTGACACCTTATCATTGTTGTCTTGTTTCCCGGGCTAGAGATAAACTTTGATACATAAAACTGGAAAATAATTCAATAGGCGAATTCCTAAATTGCTTTGAATTCAGTTTTTCTTTTCTTAAAACATTCATCAATGTTTCTGCAATATTATCGGAAAAACCTTCTTTTCAATACATTGAAATTATGTAGTGACAATAATGTGGCTCATTAGTGTGTGGCAAAAAAGTATTTTAATATGGAATGAAATCCATCATACATATCACATAGCTCTCAGCGTTCCCCCCCCCCCCCCAGGGGGGGTTATAAATTCAAGGGGAACATGGAATGATATATATATATATATATATATATAAATCATGGTTTCAAGGGGCGTCCAAATACCCCAAAATCACTCAAAAAATGAGGATCTGGAGTATTAAAATAAATGTTAGGTAGAAGCCCATTTTAAAAATTGCCCATATAATATTTGCCAATTGTTCACGCCCATAGTATAAAACGCTCGTGATTCGAGACCGTTGGATGCATTTCCCATGGCTTGAGTCTATTGTATTTCTCCAATTTAGATAATTTGCTTACATATAGTTATTTATTTATTCTTTAAAGCTAGGGGAAATATGGCAAATTAAAAAATAAAAGGATAAAAAAACGTTATTGGGTACGGCATCATAAAATCTTTATTTTAAAAAATCCAACTTCACAAGACTTAAACCTGCCTAAACCTAATTATTAAATATATATGGACAATTAGAATCCAATATTTTACTAATATAAAAATTGCCTGTTGTGACCTGTACAAATCTTTTTTTTCCCTAAGCACATATATCTTGAGACAATTCTAAATACTGTCAAATACTAAATGTGAACACATCTTCTAATTAAAATTTCAATTTCAACTCACCATATTATAAGGACTAGCCCCATCACATCACCTTTTTTATATGCTTGCATCTTTTATTATTTGTAACAAAAGATAAAAGAGAACAAAAAAATAGTGCGCGAGAGAATGATCAATTGCGTTGCTTCAGCCCCCACGCTCCTGCTGCGGCAAGAAGCGCACCACATCTGCATATAAAATATAAAATTTAATATACATACACAGACACATATATATAAATATATATAATAACATATATATTCAAGTGCATTGGCAAGTAAAATGGCATGAATTTTGCATTCAAAGGCACTTCAAGTGAAAAAAGGGGGTCGCTCCCGCCACTTTTTAAATACTGCAGCTGATGGATTATGATGATCTCCAAAAGCATATATAATTATTTCAAATTTAAAATATATGATTTCAATATATATTTAGTTATCTATACGTCCGACCAGAGTCCAAGAGCCTTTAACCAGCCTCCATAACCGCACCTTAATAACCAGTTGGGTTTTTTTAAAAAAAAAACTGATAACAACATCCCTAAAGAGAAACCTCATCATGATTCATGGATATATATTCATTCATAATATATATATATATATATATATATATAAAGAGGCGCAATGTTCAAATGTACATGTCCCTTCATGCAAACCAAGGACACACATACAGAAAGAAGATCTTAATCAGTTGCAGACAGAAAACAAGCATTATTCTCAGAGTCCCATTATAATGGGGGTAAATAATATTCTTTCTGATGCTTCTCCTCCAAACTCCTTCATCAATCTCGACCAGTAAGAGAGTTGCACAATAATATGTCGTTTGATTGAGATCGTTTGGATAATGTACACACCTATATATATGAATTGCAGGGGAGATACTGCACTGTTGGAGTCGTACTGGAGGAAGATGAAGGAGGAGTGTGCGGTGGTGATAAAGGGGTGTGAGCTTCTGAGTTATGTGAGTGATCGGAGCAACGTGTGTTGGTTCATGATGCCGGAGCTCACAGACGCCATTAAAAAGCTTCATGCTTTGGTTGGCAACGCAGAGACCGACGACAGGCACATTGTGGTCGGCAATGGCTCCACGCAGCTCTTTCAGGCTTCTCTCTTTGCTCTCTCTTCTTCTTCTTCTTCTCATTCTCCCAATCCTATCAACGTCGTCGCTGCTTCTCCTTATTACTCGGTCTCTCTCTCTCTCTATCTATCTGTCTCACATTCAAAGTTACAGTTAATGATCAAGTTCCTTTTTTTTTTTTTGGATGAAAATTGAAGGGTTTTTTAATGCAGGGCTACCCCGACGAGACAGATCTAGTGCGATCAAGCCTATACAAGTGGAGTGGGGATGCGAAGGAGTATGATAAGAATGAAGCATACATAGAGATAGTAACGTCTCCAAATAACCCAGACGGCAGCATCAGAACACCTGTTGCGAGCAACAGACGTGGAGTTGAAGGAAAGCTAATTCATGACCTTGCTTATTACTGGCCTCAATACACTCCCATTACTCACAAGGCCGATCAAGATCTTATGCTCTTCACTTTCTCCAAATGCACTGGGCATTCTGGTTCACGCATTGGGTACGTATAATACTAGTTATCTTTAAATACTGTGTATGATACTAGAGGTATACATGCTTTAATTTTGGTTCTGTTGTGAAGGTGGGCGATTGTGAAAGATATAGATATGGCGAAGAAAATGACCACATTTGTAGTGCTGAACTCCATTGGGGTGTCCAAAGAATCCCAAACTCGAGCTGCTAAGATAATGGAAGTTGTATGTAACAGCTATGAGAATTTCAAACTCGGGTCCAAGAATTCTGAGCTGTTCTTCGAGTACAGCAAATGTCTTATCAAAGAAAGGTGGGGGAAGCTGAGGGAAGTCATCAAACAAAGTGATTATTTCATCTTGCCCAACTTTCCAAAGGCCTACTGTAACTTCACTAATGAATCATCTGAAACATATCCTGGTACTTGTAATTCATAATTCTTCATTCTTTCGTCTTTAGCTGTTCAATATTTATAGCAGTTGATGATTCTAATATGTTGTTGCCATTATTTCTTGCTATATAGCTTTTGCTTGGTTGATGCATAAGAAGGATGAAGACGGTGTGGGTTATTTGGAGAAGAAATTGAAAGTACTTGCTAGAAGTGGGAATCGATTTGGATCAGGTCCACGTTGTGCTAGAATTAACATGCTGAGCAGAGATGAAGACTTCGATGAATTCTTGAGGAGGCTTTCAAACATCAAAGAGATTGGTTATTGAATGATTGGCAAAGTGTTACGCCTGATATTGATATGAATTAAGGCTTGTATGTTCTAAGAAGTGATGTTCCTTTCTGTGTATTTTAGCTTATGGGCTAATGCCCAAGCCCAATTTGCCATGCTTAGTTTTGTTCGTTGAGACTAGAAGCAAATGTATAAGGAGCCAGTATGGTGAACTAAAGTTCGAATCCCTGTTAAAAGAGATGCCCACATTTATTACCTGACAGTGTCTCGAATAAGATTACCTCCAATAGAAGAATATCTATGCTTGAGCAAAAAAAAAAAAAAGTATAAGGAGCCACATTTCTCTCCTATTGAAATTGAGTTAATTGGACAAACTATTTTTTATTTGCACACACAATATATTAATTAGTGTCAGGTTTAAATCTAGAACGTCATCCAAGCATGGTAGATGACGCTGCTACTAGAATAATTTGCCATTGACAAGTTGAGAAGTAATTGATATTCATGACTAAGCTGTCATTTTGATTAGCTTAAGAAAATAAATATGCCTTTAATCCTATTTATTACTCCTATGGCCATAAATATAAGACCCATTTTGTAATTGCATTACAAAATGGGTCTTATATTTAAGACTAGAGGAATAGTAACTTTCAATATGTTTCACACAAATGAAGAAAAATTTTAAATTGTATTAACTCTTAATTAAAGTTCATTAACTTTCTATATAAAAAAAAGAAAGAAAATTCAACAACTTTCAAATTTTATCTCTATTTAATATACATTATATCCTATGAAAACAAATCAACACAATAAATAAAGGATAAAATTATACATTCATATAAAAAATTTCTCTCTCTGCCTTATAAATAGAACCAAAAAATTCATTCTCTCTCTACTCTGTTAATAGGACCACAGGAGTGTGTGAAAAGAATTTGTCTTACAAAGTATAAGAGTGATTATTTTAAGAGCTCCATCTATCCCCTAAGTTTTGGATTTCTACTGTTTAGAATGAATCCTAATTTAGTTTTGTTGAATGAGTTGAAAGATTTTAATTTTTTTTTTTGAAGCTGGGAATGAGACTAAAAAGCCGATTCGGGATGAATCCAACACTCATTGTGGATGACATATTGGTTTGGCTTGGTCTTAATTTGATTTGTATTAAAAAATCCAGTTCGCTCCAGTCCAAGAAAATGAGTGCTGATCAGTTTTTCAATGGTCAGCAATTTGGCGATGAACCGAACCATATACAGATGGTCCAAAGCTCGCTCCCTGTAATGCCCTATCACATGACAAGATTGTGTCGGTCAATTGAGTTTAACGAAAAAGATTACTCTTTCATTTGAATTCCAGTCAAAAGAGATACAATATTAGATAATATCTCAAACAAGATGACTTTTATTGGAAGGTACCTATGCTTAATAATATATATTCACTCTCCATTTTAAAAGAATATTCACTTGGGGAGTAAAATCTTAATTATTTTTATACAATTATATCCTTCATTAATAATATTCTATTTGATCTTAGATACAACTTATTTCTAATTATCTCGCGAAACTGATGAATAAATCGTTTAATATGTGCATATACTTAGAATCTAACATTTAATTAATTATTGAGTAAATGTACATCTAGCATCTTGATATCATTTCCTATGATATATCCAGCACACTGATTGTATTTTTAGTGCATTCAGCACTATAACAATTTAGGGTGTTAGATATCATTAAAAAAATAATATCAAGATGTTAGATGCACTTGTATTTTTAATTATTTGGCTAAAAACATTCATTTAATTAGCTAACTCATTAATTAAGCGTATAAGAGTGGCCGGTACGGTCCAACTCATGTTTTTTCTTATCATAATAATAAACATTGTGTACTCATTAATCCAATAAAATCCGAATCCTTCAGAATGTGAGTTAGGCGATCTATATTTAGAATTTTTAATATATAATTTTTTAATAATAATTTTTTTTTCAAAAAGTGTTAGTTATCAAATAATTTTTATTTAAAATTATGTATTTTCAAACTAAAAAATTATTTAAAAAATTAAACATTAAATTGAATATGGATAATTTAAATTAATGTGTATTATTCATATTAAGATCAGGACTCCATGCTCAGTCAAAATGGGCATGGAATGTGCTGTCTCCTACTCCTCCTCATGCTTCTGTCTTTTTCGACTTGTTTTATACTTTTCTTTTTGCCAGCGTTTTATACTTTTATTTAAGAAAAGACTCAGGTCAACCAAAAAAAAAAATAAAGGAACTGCTAAAAATATAAAAATAAAACATAAGAGACTAGACAAGATAAGAATAAGGATAGAAGTAGACTAGGTTAGGCTAGATTTTAACAAAGCAGGTATAGGCTTGTGTTAGATATTTAAAGTCTGAGCCTGAGTCTAAATGTGAACTTGCATATAAGCTTTTTTTTAGGTCTAAGTCTAAGCCTTCAAAGGACCTGAGAAGGCTTGAAGTCTGTTTAAAGGTCTACTTAAAATATAGGAATAGGTTTAAAAAAGTTATACCTTCAAATTCATATAAACTTTTCAAACATATTTAAAACCTATGTTATATCTTAAAAGTGTAGAATCCATTCTCACTTGTAATATAAGAGTGTAGTAAGAAAACAAAAAGAATGTATAGTGACAATAGTTGTCGGATCAAGTAGAAATAAGAAAAATCAATCCTCTGTTGACTAAATAAATATATTTTCTAAAATTAACCAAGCACAATAATTGGTATGTAAAAATGGATTTTACTTTATTTGGTTTTCCTACATAAATTGAGCAAACTCTTCCTATTAAAATTATAATATTTTATTTTGACATCACTAAAATAAACTTACAACAATTATTATGATTTAGCAAACAACAAAAATCAGGGAGAGGAAATGAGCTATATTAACATATTGAGCAATTGAAAAAAAGAGAAGTAGAAGTGAATGAGTGATGAATGAAAAGCGGCTGACTCTTTATAAGAATGTTATGATGTGAAACTTTGCGTCAAACTAAAATTTGTAATTTTATAAATAATTTATAAAATTGATTTATATTATATAATATATAATAATACAAATTTAATAAAAAAATTAAATAAATCAAGCTTGTAAGCTTGTAGGCTAAGCTTTATCAACATAGGCCTAGCGTTGTTTAAATAGGCTTAAATATGAGCCTGATTTATTTACTAAAGATGCTAGACTAGACTTTATATAGGTTAGACAATAAACCCTGATAAAAGTCTAGTATATTTTCACCCGCATATTAGAATACCACCTAAATTTGAATTGCGTTTTTATTTTTGGTGAGAGTTGTTGCGTACTTTCGACTTCCCACTTTAACCTTTTAATGCTATTCAAAATTTTTTAGCTTATATAATTAAATTCTAATAATTACAAATCAGCTATTACTCCATTTTTGTTTATTAGAATATTTAATATCTACTAATTTAATTTATAACAAATAAAAATGACTTAATTTTGCCGAAACAAAGGCTTAAGGACTTGATTTTTTTTTGTGACAATTAAGGATTTGAATTTTATGAATGAAAAATCACGTTGAGAAAAATCACTAATTGAATCTGATGAGTAATAATTAAATATAACCTTACAAATCATTAAATGGTTATGTTAAAAATATTTATATTTTTTGTAATTTTTTCTTATGTAATATATATTTTACATAAGAAGTACAATGCATTCACACTAATGTATAAAATATATATGTAACACAAATAATTATTTTAAGGGGTAGTTATTTTTTTGACCTTGAATTTTTTTAGGAGATAAGAATATGTAGGATGCCGATACAGCCAAAATCTGATAAAAAAAACAAAAGCAGAGAGACAGAGAAGGGGGGGATTCAATCTTTTGTAGTATTCCTTGATAGGATCATTCTAACCTTCAAATAACTAATTTGAATTATTAGTTAAAAGTAACAAGTATACGTTAAAAATATACTTTTGTTCTTAAATATGATATTGTAATAAATAAGAAAAATAATAAAAGAGAATAAGATAGGAAATGTGATAAGAAAGAGTATAACAAATGACAGAGAATAAATAATTAATGACAAAATGAAAAAAAAAGATTAAATGGTAAGGCAAAGTAAAATTAAAGTTTATAAAATGGATTACGTACCTTTCTAAATTTGACGCTTATAATAGGACCTAAGGGAGTAATAAAAGCATATTTCTTCGAAGGGATGAGATGCTTAAATACTAAAAGTATACATAAAAGATCACCCAACACTAAAAAGTTTTTTTTGGATTTTATATGGTCTAAAAGTGTATTTTCATAGCAAAAATACCTTGGTTATTATCTATCGTGAAATTTAACCGTTAAATTATACGGTTTGACAGGTATATTTAATGGTCAAACTTAGCAGCGCATGATGGTTTAGGACTGAAATGCAACGAAATAAAACTTTCAGGGTATACAAGAGCCAAAAAAAAAAATCTAGAAATTAGATGTTCCTTCATGTATACTTCTGGAGTATTTAAGTATCTTATCTCCTCATCAAAAGATCCATGCTTAAATCCTAAGGGATAATATTCAATTTTGGTTCGGACGTATACGTTGAGATGCTGTGGCTATTTGAAAGGCTTTTTAAGAGCAATATTTTCTCGAAAGTGTTAAAAACGTAACAATGTCTCCCCCACTATTTAAAACGTTAATTTTGATGTTATATTTGATTTATGTGCACAAGTCCACACATGCCGCCTCATCAACAAATCACATTCTCTCTCTTCCTCGCTGCAGGAGGTCTCTTTCTCTGCTCTTACTCCTCCCTTTCCTTCTCTCATACTTTCTGATCATAAAATTTCACACTTCTTCCTTCATAAAAGCTCACCATTCTTACGACATTGCTAAAATTCCAAGCGAGTTCAGCGTAATCATATTCCTCTAATATTTTGGGATGCCATTGCTGACCCATTGCCATTCATCCTTCCTTCACCTTCTTTCTCAGTCATGTTCCCGACAACTTTGCACAATGACAAGATATAAGGTAGCTTTCAAACTCCGAAGCCCACAAAG